GCAAAACATAATAAGTGAGCTTTCTTCAGGTAAAATAGGTAATGTCATTAATAAAAATAACAAATAATAACGGACCCAGCAGTGAGCCTTGTGGCACCCCACTTGGAATAGTTACCCATCCTAATATGTAGTTGCTAACGACAACAGCTTGTGATCGATTATTTATATAAGACGTAAACCACCGAAGCAGATCGCCGTTTATACCGATCTGGGACAGTTTCAGCAATAGCAAATTATGATGTATTCTGTCAAAGGCTTTACTATAATCGGTTTAAACGACATCTACCTGGTGGCGATTGTCCATTGCCTCAGTCAAATATGCATTAAAGAGCGCAAGATTTGAAACAGTGGAGCGTCCTCTTAAAAAACCATGTTGAGTCGGATTGAATGAATGCTTTAGGGCCGCGTATAATTGATTATATATAATTCGTTCGAACACTTTAGATACAATACATAACTTGGAAATCGGTCGATAATTAGTAACTTCGGTCTTGGAACCCTTTTTATGTACAGGCGTAATAAATGCACGCTTCCAGATGGTAGGAACAATACCTGTACTAAGGGAATTTTTAAACAAAATAGTCAAGGGAACACAAATTGTATGCGCACAGTTAATAAGAAAGTGAGCTGGAATGTTATCGGGACCAGAAGATTTCGTTAGATCCAACGTTTTAAGCAGGTTTTTGACTGTATTTTCGTTTATATCAATTGAGGTGATATCTACACTCGACTGAGGCAACACTAGAGAATCATTATAATTATTTTTAGACAGCTGATTATTACTATCACCCGAAACCAAAAAATTTGAACGAAAATAGTTTAAAAAGCATTACAGATAAGTTCGCCAGAGATAATTACAGAACCTTCAAATTTGAGACAACAAGGTATTGAATGTGATTTTGATTTTTGTTTAATATACGACCAGAAGTGTTTCGGATTTGCACTAATCGAATTTTCCACAGAGGTTATGTAAGATTGGTATGCTAACTTTTCTAATTTCCTTACACGCTCCCGCAATAGCTTAAAAGTTTCATTGTCATGCCTACAGCCATAGATCCTAAATTTACGTAAAAAATTATGTTTTTCTATAATAGCTTTTTTAAGTGGTGTTGTATACCATTTGGGATAAGTGTCGGCAAGAATTAATTTTGAGGGGATATATTTGTCTCTAAGTGACGTGAGTGTGCTATAAAAGTATTGAACAGATTCATCTAAGGATAACGGAGACATAACTTCACCCCATTAGATATTGGCAATCTCACCATTTAATGAATAATAGTCACCTTTATGATATAAGAACTTAAGGCGAGAATTGCTATTTAATGAGTCACAATCAACGTTATCAAAAGATATTAAAAGGGCACCATGATAAGGATCAACAGGAATAAGAGAATCCCCACTTAAATCACGAACGGTTACAGCGTCACTAGAAAAAACAAGGTCAAGGATCCTGCCATGGGCATTTTTTATACCATTAAATTGTCTCAAATTTAGCGAGCTTAATTCATCTATTAATAAAATTTCATTTCCCGAACGAATATTTGTACCTAAAAATGAACCGTCGGCGGCGTCGATGTCAGGCACCCATATAATATCACTAATATTGAAGTCGCCAACTAATAAAAAGCTATCGTCCGAGTGACTCATGACAACTTCGCTAACCGAGTGCAAATAATTTTGAAGTTGAGCAGTAAAACTGAGACCCCGATTTTCGTTACACAAATATAAGATACAAATATGCAAGTTCTTGTGTTTTTTACGGGTAATATGGTGAATAGACAACGTTAACCATAGGTCCTCAGCACTTGAATGAAAGGAAGGCTGCGGGATAGCTTCTAGATCTTTACGCGTCGCAATCAAAACACCACCACCGTATTTCTGACCAGTAACTGTGTAATTCCTATCACGCCGCCATACAACGTATCGATTATCAAATAATTCCGTATCACTAATTCTGTCCGGGAGCCATGTCTCCGTAATTAATATTATATCATAATCACATAAATATACGATAAAATATGTCGGTTTTAGTGCGCAAGCCTCTTGCGTTCTGATAATATATTCTTAGGTTGTCACTGCCACACCCTACACGTACACTATTATTATGTAGCATAGCCATTTTTAAGCCTATCAATAACCAAAATAATTTTACTACAATAAAGGAATATATATCTCCCGTCATATTTCAAAAACCCGTTAATAAAATTAGAAAACAATACACCAATATTTAAAAATTCACTAAGACTATAATAAGTTAGCGTATAATATTTACAAACGGGTAGAAAAAATAAAACTGTATCATCTAATGAGTGCAAAATATGATGCATACTTAAGCGACCGTCAACAGAAGCAAACAACTGATAACAGAGAGGCAATTTTAACAAATAGCGATGCGTCAACGAAGCAGGTACGGAAGGGGTAACAAGCATTTTGTAACTTTTTAAAAACAGCTTCGTAATTCTATAAAAGCAAAAGTTAATTATACAGAGGTAAGAATTGTTAATAAAATTAAAAGAAGTAATGTAAAGAGACATTAATAAACAATAGATTAAGCTATTTTGTTTAAATCAGCCTCTTTAGTAATAATTAAAACCGGCGCAGTATCATTTTTACGAACATGAATTTTTCCGTATTTGACCTAGATATAAGAATAACCTCGGTCTTTTGCTAAGGTCCTTGTTTTGGTAAGAAGTTTTTTGTGCTCTAGAGTCAAATGATCATTTACGAAAACGCGTTGACGATTGCCTCCAAATCCAACATCCTTCGCCTCCAGAGTTTTGCAGGCGCGCTACAAATTCTTCTTTGACATAACGATTTATGAAATTGATAATGATGGCCTTCTCTTTGGTATTAAACATTGGTACTCGGGATATGTAATTGATTTGAGATTTTTGGAATTCATACCCAACTGCTTTACCCAAAGACTCCGCAATTACAAATAGGTTTTCATTGGGTTTTAGGGGGATGCCCTTTATATCAACATTACTCAGCCGTGACCATTGTTCCTTGGTCTCAATAACACTTTTAAGATTAGCTATTTCCTTGTTGGCACAGCGAGAGAATTTTGAATCTTTTCAATCTGAGATACACCACGTTCTAAACTGGAGACTTGATCTTGAAAAGATTTAAGTGAACTACTGTTGTACTCATAAGACTCCTTCAGATGGATTAATTCAACTTTAATAGATTTGATGTCTTCGATAAGAGTTGGAACTGTTGTGACCAGCTTCTTCATCTCACGAATCTCCTTAAGAATAACATCCAAGGTCGCCGACTCCCCACCAGAATTGCCACCAGGGGTGGCTTCAGAACTTGGACGGGAGAGGCTGAAGGAAACCTTTTTGCACTGAAGGTATTTCCATTGTGCTCTTCGATCTGCTCCTAAGTTCCGAAAGCACAACCAAAGTCGTAGTGTTTTTACAAACGTAACATTGCGCTCCATCATTGAACTGATTTGAACATGATTCACAAATATTCATCTTTGAAGTAACAGTATCAATGACTACAGTTACGAAAAAAAAAGGTTTGTGATATATGTTGTATGTCGTATGACGTAGATAGTAGATACGTAAACAAGAGTGCAAACGTTTAGCTATACGCGTGTGCCTGTATCGTGCGCTCACTGCTCACTGATTATTTATTTGATAATTTTGATAAATTTGATAACTTTGAATTTTTCTATTAATAGTACTAATATTTTTACTACTTTTTAATGAATGATTTAAAAATTTTCTTTCCCCAGTCCTGTGTATAACATTATGTAAGTAATAATATAATTTGATAATAGACATCGGCACCATTATTATATAATTAAACTTACATTCGGTGGTTTCGAGATGTCTTGTACCTGCTACAGAACTTGGCTGGTCGCTCGTTGTACCCCTGACTTTTTCTGCTACTCTGGTACGACGACCGTAACGAAGATATTGTTAGCTCCCCGATGTGGTTGGGCCTGGACTTCCTCGTACGCTTCTTTTTTCTTAAGTTCTTTATTCTTCTCTTGAAGGAATTTTGATTAAGAAGTTTTCTGTTCTTGGAATCTTCTTTCTTGGAACTTGTCAATATTGATTATGCTGTTAAAACAATGTTACTGGAGCTTCTTGTATAATTTGTTTTTCAGGTATTTTCTTCATTTTTTCTATAACATTTTTTCTTTAAGTGTATAATCGACTTCGATTTCTCAAAAAAAATTGTAGTCTCTTTTTATATTCGTATTTAAAATATTATTTGTCACGTCCGGTATTATGTTCATTTTATTATTACATTATTTTCATATATTCATTTTGATTAATTTATTCTTTCAATAAATTACTCTATTTCTTATGCAGGTCCCGGCGGTGCGCTTGCATTGTAGCAGCGCACCGCCTGGCAGGGTCGCCAGGGTAATGTCGGGAGGTTCGGGGAATAAATAATAATACGTCTAGTGGTCTTGAATGTAGGTTTATTACTGACTGAATGTTTATTAGGCTATCATATATATATATATATATATATATATATATATATATATATATATATATATATATATATATATATATATATATATATATATATATATATATAGCTACATGAGCATACACTACACACACACTATAGAAGTATGACACCTTGGTTTTACCAGCAATAACAATTATACAGTGGAAGCAGCGCCTTCTGTAACGTTACATTTCATAAAATGTTTTACCTCTAAAATTAGTCATTACTGATGAAGAGTAGACTGACTGATAGTGCTTATGATGAGTAATCTAATGTCAAAAGCTTAGTCGTCACAACTCGTGATCAACATGTTGTAAAACAATGTCTGCTTGCAAATATCATGTTAACGAGTAGTTTAATATCAAAGCTTGGTCTATTGACCTCTCACGACACCCACGGGCTTTTTACTGTATAACCACTTGTAAAATAGTTGTTGAATATATTTAAGATTAATAAAATAAAACTTATCCCGAAGGAGAACACTCCTACGGCTTTAATTTAAAATTTAGTCACATCTGTTATAGAAGAGGCAATCAGTGACGAGGCTGAGAATGGAGACTGGCGCGACGTGGAATCGGCCACAGAATCACCGAGGTTTGTCCGCATGTTTGTATTTTGTTTATTAATAAAGTAAATTGCATTAAAACAATGTGTTAAGTGAATAATTTTCTTAAAATTATGTTTCACAAAGCAGACCAGCCTTGATGAATTTAAAATTCCTAATTTACGAGGTTGTTTGAAGTTTTGTGTTCAGCGGTGTGACGTATATAAACGTACAGTTCATCTGGTGCTAAGTTGCAAGCAATCTCAAACAAAGAAGGCAGCGTCGTGAGATCTGTGAACTATGATGAAATGACGTTTAATTTGTAATTATATTAGCTTTTTAAACCTCAGATCAGATTGGAGCACAGCGATCCACGCACGGCTGCTTGGCGGCATAACTAGGAAAGAGGTTTTGCCTTAGAGTTCGCTGGGGTGGGTTCACCCGGGCGAACTCTTAGCCGGAAAAGATGTTTTACCATCTCCTAAGTTTTAGAAGTTTTAAGTCACACCGTCATAGGCTGTTAAAAGTCCACTGCTGAACATAAGTCTCCTTATGGAATGCTTCATATTAGCCACAGTGGGCACGCTCGGTAAGCTGGTTGGTCGTAATTTTTTACTTTTAGTCGATATTAAGAAGACGCTGCCAATCTCCTGATGTGTTTCCCTTTGTCGCCTCTTACGACACCCACGGGACGATACGAGCAATGAGTATTGTTAGAGGGTCAGCACACGGCACACGTGGAGTGCAGCGGGGGTTGACTAGCGCCTTGTTGCAGGTGCAGCGCGCGGCGGCCGGCGCAGGTACGTGCGCGCTTGTGCGTGTGCGTGTGCGTGTGCGTGTGCGTGTGCGTGCGTGTGCGTGTGCGTGCGTGTGCCACGAGCGGTCGCGGCCGGCGCTACGCACTCTACACACAACACCCTTGCACATTGACGCGCTTATTGCTGCATGACTCCGCTCTTGAATGCATTATGCCTATATTTTTTTAATGTTCCAACGTGTTCAGTTCAAATATCTTACTACTCGATCAATATCCACTAATACAACTACGTCAACTAATGGATTTATTTAGAGGAACTAAAACTACTGAACTTTAATTAACAGTATTTATTCTTATAATCAAGTGAACCACAAATTGCAACAATAATTAAAACTATTTTTTTTTATAGAATAACGATGGTAATTTAAGACACAGGTTAATAGATTGTATGGTTCACAGATGTTTTATCTATTTTCGATTAAGAATCAAAATGTTGCAGCCTCTGAGGACTAAAACGGAATACATCAATTAAAGTAAAAAAGTTTTCCGGTTCTCCATTAATCATACGAAACACAGTAAAATAACGCCCTAGTATACGACACCGTTTTTTTTTTACAGTACAGCGAATAAAATGTACCATAGAATATACAACGTCTCCCAAAATTTAACGATAAACGGGCACCAGAGGGTGGACCTGCTCATCACTACTCGAAAAAAATAAAAAGAAAAAAAATCTAAAGCTTCACATCAGCTATATGTTCTTTTAAAAAACATATAGCTGATGTGAAACATCAACGTTCCGGGAGGTCTGCAGTTTGCGATCATATCCTAAACGGCCCCAACCATTACATCAGATTTGATAGACCACAAATCCTCTCGAAAGAACACCGATTCCTACCAAGGATGATACGTGAGGCTATTGAAATTAAAAAACATCCTAATTTCAATAGAGAAGGAGGCTGGGTACTACCATCTGCTTGGGATCCTATAATCAATAAAATTAAAACTAAACCCAAGCATACCACTGCAAGACCTCAGGACATAGTCAGTTCATTTTGCATATTAAGTAGATCGGACCATAAACAATAATTAAAAAAAACTGAAGGTACTCCGGGTTTAACAATGACATCGGGACGTCAGTCATCTTAGTCCCCCGTGACCATGGGTGCTGGAAAGCGCCCGAAACGTCGGGAATTAAAAGTAAATAAAAAGTAAAAATAAACGCGATAAAATTCGTAAAAGTAGTTTTAATCAATGTGTAGTGTTCGCGTAAATATAAGAAATCATTATGTAAAATGAAATTCTTCGAAAATCGATACCCGGATATGATAATTTCTACCACCATGAGCACATTTTTAATTTTTTTTGGTATTTTTTTGGTATCGGCAACCTTAGTCATACTGCTATGTACCAAAAGCCTTATAAATCCCACAATACATGTAGTTTTTACACAAAAATCAATCAAAATTATTTTTTCCCCTAAAATTTTGAAAGATTTTAACTTTCAGTCCACTTTCGCTCATCGTGGTGTTAAAAAAGTACTGACACTACTATGGCAAGTTTTTTTTTTAAATTGACGCAACTAACTAAGATTCTAAAATGGTATAATACTCTAGAAAAACTTCTATGTGGCACAGGATTTTTGCTGAAAAATGTTGCATGAATCAAAACAAAGGGTACAAATGTTTACATTTATTTTATTTTTTTGCATTATTAATATTACAGTAAATGTTTGAATTGTTGGCCCCGGCATTAATACAGGCACGGCATCGCCTTAAAAAAGATCTTTTTATTCGTCGTGCAATCTTCTACCATTGATATGATCCGCAGCCTGAGTGATATTTTGGTGAAACTCATCCAATGTTGAAATGGTTTGGTAGGTTTTGAGTAAACCCTGTCTTTGAGACAACCCCAGTAGAAGAAGTCCAGGGGGTTTAGGTCGAGTGAACGGGGTGGCCATAAGATAGGACCAAGTCCCCCGATCCAACGTCCTGGGTACTCTTGGTTTAAATATTCTCGCACAAGACGGGCATAGTGAGCTGGGCAACCATCATTTTGAAACCACATGTTTTGTAAGTCACGCAAATGCACGTCTTCTAATAATTCTGGCAAGTCGTTTTGTAAAAAGTTCAAATAACTATTTCCATCTAAGTTTCCTTGTAACTCAAAGGGCCCAATTACTTTTCCATTTAATATGCCCGTCCATAAGTTAATCTTGAATTGATATTGGGATTTGTTTTGTCTCATCAGGTGCGTATTTTCATTGCTCCAACTATGTAAGTTGTGAAGACTTAAATAGCCATTTTTCTTGCAAGTTGTTTCAATTGACCATAGAACTTTATCTAAGAATTGGGGATCTTCCCTGTGCTTTTGCAGCATCACACGGCAAAATGCGACCCGTAGTGGATAGTCCCGCGCTAATAACGTCTGCACACGCCTGTAGTGGTATGGGTGAAGCCTGTAACGTTTAAAAATTCGATGCACAGAACTTTTTGGGATTCCCGTAGCTAGTTCTATGGCACGTACCGAGGTAGTCGAATCGTTTTCTATTTAATTGAGAACTTCTTCATCGCGTCCCAATCTAGGTTTTCCAGCGTTTCTCCTGGCAGATGGTAAACGACCCTCCACAAACGCTTGATGCACATTAATAAATACTCGATAATCAAGGTATCTTTGAGCATTTGGATACCTTCCTCGATACAATCTGCGAGCAGCGTTAGCATTGCATCGGCATTGTCCATAAATGAGATGCATATTAGCGTATTCCAACGATGTGTACGGTAGCGGCATGATAAACACTAAACAGTCCAAAATACGCCAATAGTCTAATTCACAAAACACACAATTACAGTCCAAAATAATGCCAGGCCAGTTCAGTTTGCAGATCACCAGTCCAAAACGCGAAGCCAAAAGTCGTTAGTACGGAGCCACATCAGTTGACGGAACGGTGCACAGTAAACAAAGGAGCAGAGTGTACTGACTGAAATAATACTAGTTTTTACGGAATTTATCGCGTATATTTAACTTTTTAATTACCCGACGTTTCGAGAGCTTTACAGCACTCATGGTCACGGGAATGACTGAGATGTTCAACGTCCATATGTCATAGTTAACCGCGGTTACCATAGATTAAAATTTAACTTTTGGTCCGATCTATACAGTATGAAGCTTATGGTATCATGAAGTCTTGCAGTTGTATGCTTGGGTTGGGATTTAATTTTATTTATTATAGGATCCCAAGCAGATGGTAGCACCCAGCCATCTTCTCTATTGAAATTAGGATGTTTTTTGATTTCAATAGCCTCGCGAATCATCCTTAGAAGGAATCGGTGTTCTTTAGCGAGGATTTGTGGTCTATCAAATCTGATGTAGTGACGGGGGCGATCCTGTACGTGTTCACAGACTGCAGACTTCCCGGAGCGTCGATTCTTCACATCAGTTCTTCACATGCTCTTTAACGGGGGATTTAATTGATCTTTTAGTTTGTCCTATGTAGGAGAGACCACATTCACAATCAAGCTTGTACACTCCTGCATCTTGCAGAGGGACATTAGACTTGACCGATGGTAAAAACTGACCAATCTTCTTCGGCGGCTTGTATGTATGTTTTGATGGAAGCGCGCTTCAAGATGTAGCCAATCTTGTCAGTGACTCCTCTAACATATGGCAGTACAGCAGGTACACGCTCGACTGTGGCCGGCTTCACTCGTTCACTGTGACGTAGGCGCGGGACTCGAAGCTTGTTGTCATGCAAAACTTGCTTGACATGGTGTAGCTCTGCAGCCAGGTGTTTACTGTCACAGATCCCTCGTGCTCTCTGAAACAAAGATTTACCCACGGTAGCTAACTGTAAAGGATGGTGGTGAAAATCACCGTTTAAATATCTATTTGTATGGGTTTTTTTTTTCTATACACAGTATGGCTCAAGGTGTTATCAGGATTCCGAATTACTAACACATCTAGAAAAGCTAAGGAATTTTTTGGCTGTAACTCCATTGTGAACTGAATTTTAGAATTTATAAAGTTAAGATGGTCTAAAAATGCAGTTCCTTTATCTAAAGGTAGAATTGTGAATGTGTCGTCTACGTACGGCGACGAGGTTCGCCACCCGTCACGTTCTGTCTCCCAGAGAGGCGAAAAGTGGATTGCAGAGGCCCATATGGCTACGTTGAATGAATGTATGTGGGGCAATGAATGATAAAATGGATGAAGTATGCGAAATGATGAATGACAGAGGAATAGATGTGTTATGTGTAAATGAGACGAAAAGGAAGGGGAAGGATGTCACTACACATGGCATGTATACCGCATACTGGTCTGGTGTAGACGAGATCGAGCGGGCATGCCAGGGAGTAGGTATCATCCTTTCTGAAAGAATGATCCAATGTGTGAAAGAGTATGAATGTGTAAGAAAGAAAGAAGAAAGAAAACATTTATTGCTCAAATACGCCACATGTACATTTAAACCATAAACATAAAAAATACATAGTAAAACACATCACATATTAAACACATCACACATTTTACGCACACAAGTGTGTGTGGCGTACACGGCAAACAGACCGCACTCAGCTTAATGCCGCAGCCGATACGAGACTACAGCGCTGGTTTTCAGTGGGCCTGTGAATTAAGTGACGTGCGGACGTTCACACCGTCATTGATAGACTAATAATAATTAACATAGATTACATGAAGGAATAAACTGGATCTAATACCAAGAATGTCCGAAACATTGTTAAAAGTATTGTTATCACCATAAGAGTCATGTATCTATGAGGTATCAGTTGGAAAATAATATAAAAGAAGAAACACTAAATGATGGTACCCTACAAAAATATTTTCTCACAGGTATGTAATCATAACCATAATCTTAAGCAACAATATTATCATTAGAAACAATATTCTAATAAAGTCAATAATGATTGCACGCTAAACATATACTAAGCCCAAGCCTGCTATGGATACGAATGAAAGTGGGTTTAAAGAGGTTGTTCGTATTAGGGGTCTACGCCCCAGACATGTCTAAGCCCACTTATATCCGGG